AGAGAGCCCTGAATGCAAGGTTCTTGCTGCGCAGGTAAAACATAACTTCGGGAATTAATGTGATGCTTAAATCAGCCAATAATTTCTCTTGTTATCCGTGCTGACTGGTGTGACCTCCAGATAACTGTAAGGTAGTTGCAGAACCATCAACCTGAATGACTGGAAACATAACTGGTGAACTCAAAATTATGGGGCATTCTTGGAGAGTAACAACACCTAATTCCTAATTATAAAAATGATAAAATATGCACCCTGTATTAATAAAAGTATTATCTCCTTGTCAAGAGTGCAAATGAAGTATTTTGGGACTCCTAGCAATGAAATACTGCAAAATCAACAGTACAGTGTTGTGTAACTGACATTATCCACCACAACACTACCACCTACCATTGCTCACGAAAACACATGACTCGCCACAACACACAACCATTCACCACAAAACACCACCACCACTTTCCACAACATGCTACAACTCACCACAACACACCATCATTCACCACTGCTCACAAAGAATGGGATCTAGAAGTCAAAACTGACAAATGTTCATCATAAGAAAAATTATTTTTTATTATTAACACACTGGCCGATTCCCACCAAGGCAGGGTGGCCCGAAAAAGAAAAACTTTCGCCAACATTCACTCCATCACTGTCTTGCCAGAAGGGTTCTTTACACTACAGTTTTTAAACTGCAACATTAACACCCCTCCTTCAGAGTGCAGGCACTGTACTTCCCATCTCCAGGACTCAAGTCCGGCCTGCCGGTTTCCCTGAACCCCTTCATAAATATTACTTTGCTCACACTCCAACAGCACGTCAAGTATTAAAAACCATTTGTCTCCATTCACTCCTATCAAACACGCTCACGCATGCCCGCTGGAAGTCCAAGCCCCTCACACACAAAACCTCCTTTACCCCCTCCCTCCAACCTTTCCTAGGCCGACCCCTACCCCGCCTTCCTTTCACTACAGACTGATACACTCTTGAAGTCATTCTGTTTCACTCCATTCTCTCTACATGTCCGAACCACCTCAGCAACCCTTCCTCAGCCCTCTGGACAACAGTTTTGGCAATCCCGCACCTCCTCCTAACTTCCAAACTACGAATTCTCTGCATTATATTCACACCACACATTGCCCTCAGACATGACATCTCCACTGCCTCCAGCCTTCTCCTCGCTGCAACATTCATCACCTATGCTTCACACCCATATAAGAGCGTTGGTAAAACTATATTCTCATACATTCCGCTTTTTGGCTCCATGGACAAAGTTCTTTGTCTCCACAGACTCCTAAGTGCACCGCTCACCCTTTTCCCCTCATGAATTCTATGATTCACCTCATCTTTCATAGACCCATCTGCTGACACGTCCACTCCCAAACATATCTGAATACATTCACCTCCTCCATACTCTCTCCCTCCAATCTGATATCCAATCTTTATTCATCTAATTTTTTTATCCTCATAACCTTACTCTTTCCTGTATTCACTTTTAATTTTCTTCTTTTACATACCCTACCAAATTCATCCACCAACCTCTGCAACTTCTCTTCAGAATCTCCCAAGAGCACAGTGTCATCAGCAAAGAGCAACTGTGACAACTCCCACTTTATGTGCAATTCTTTATCTTTTAACTCCAGGCCTTTTGCCAAGACCCTCGCATTTTTTTTTTTTTCAACAAGTCGGCCGTCTCCCACCGAGGCAGGGTGACCCAAAAAAGAAAGAAAATCCCCAAAAAGAAAATACTTTCATCATCATTCAACACTTTCACCACACTCGCACATTATCACTGTTTTTGCAGAGGTGCTCAGAATACACAGTTTAGAAGCATACACATATAAAGATACACAACATATCCCTCCAAACTGCCAATATCCCAAACCCCTCCTTTAAAGTGCAGGCATTGTACTTCCCATTTCCAGGACTCAAGTCCGACTATATGAAAATAACCGGTTTCCCTGAATCCCTTCACTAAATATTACCCTGCTCACACTCCAACAGATCGTCAGGTCCCAAGTACCATTCGTCTCCATTCACTCCTATCTATCACGCTCACACACACTTGCTGGAAGTCCAAGCCCCTCGCCCACAAAATCTCCTTTACCCCCTCTCTCCAACCCTTTCGAGGACGACCCCTACCCCGCCTTCCTTCCCCTATAGATTTATATGCTTTCCATGTCATTGTACTTTGATCCATTCTCTCTAAATGACCAAACCACCTCAACAACCCCTCTTCTGCCCTCTGACTAATACTTTTATTAACTCCACACCTTATCCTAATTTCCACACTTCGAATTTTCTGCATAATATTTACACCACACATTGCCCTTAAACAGGACAACTCCACTGCCTCCAACCGTCTCCTCGCTGCTGCATTTACCACCCAAGCTTCACACCCATATAAGAGTGTTGGTACTACTATACTTTCATACATTCCATTCTTTGCCTCCATAGATAACGTTTTTTGACTCCACATATACCTCAACGCACCACTCACCTTTTTTCCCTCATCAATTCTATGATTAACTTCATCCTTCATAAATCCATCCGCCGACACGGCAACTCCCAAGTATTTGAAAACATTCACTTCTTCCATACTCCTCCTCCCCAATTTGATATCCAATTTTTCTTTACCTAAATCATTTGATACCCTCATCACCTTACTCTTTTCTATGTTCACTTTCAACTTTCTACCTTTACACACATTCCCAAACTCATAACAAACCCTCGCATTTACTTCTCTTAAAACCCCATCTATAAATATATTAAACAACCACGGTGACATCACACATCCTTTTACTGGAAAATAATCTCCCTCTTTCCTACATACTCTAACTTGAGCCTCACTATCCTCGTAAAAACTCTTCACTGCTTTCATTAACCTACCTCCTATACTATACACCTACAACATCTGCCACATTGCCCCCCTATCCACCCTGTCATATGCCTTTTCCAAATCCATAAATGCCACAAAAACCTCTTTAGCCTTATCTAAATACTGTTCACTTATGTTTCACTGTAAACACCTGGTCCACACACCTCCTACCTTTCCTAAAGCCTCCTTGTTCATCTGCTATCCTATTCCCCATCTTACTCTTAATTCTTTCAATAATAACTCTACCATACACTTTACCAGGTATACTCAACAGACTTATTCCCCTATAATTTTTGCACTCTCTTTTGTCCCCTTTGCCTTTATACAATGGAACTATGCATGCTCTCTGCCAATCCCTTGGTACCTTACCCTCTTCTATACATTTATTAAATAATAGCACCAACCACTCCAAAACTATATCCCCACCTGCTTTTAACATTTCTATCTTTATCCCATCAATCCCAGCTGCTTTACCCCCTTTCATTTTACCTACTGCCTCACGAACTTCCCCCACACTCACAACTGGCTCTTCCTCACTCCTACAAGATGTTATTCCTCCTTGCCCTATACACGAAATCACAGCTTTCCTATCTTCATCAACATTTAACAATTCCTCAAAATATTCCCTCCATCTTCCCAATACCTCTAACTCTCCATTTAATAATTCTCCTCTCCTATTTTTAACTGACAAATCCATTTGTTCTCTAGGCTTCCTTAAGAAAAAATACACACAAAATAGTAAGATATTCCCATATGGAACAATAGCCAACTTTAAAATAACATTTAGATATATGGATGAGAAAATGTTGAAAAACAGCTGTTCACAACATTTATTAGACTTAAGTTAGAATATACACCGGAGTGGTCTCTGCACCTGAAAAACATATTAAGCCAAAAAGATAAACTATGAAATAGTTCTCAGAGCTAAAAAATTATGAGTTATGAAGAAAAGCTGAATGTACAATATATGCCATCATAAACCAGTAGGTGAAAATGAGGACATGATAATCACAAAAATTTAAAAAGGCACTAAAGAAGTGACATGGTAGAATTCCTAACCACATCAACTAGGGCATCAAGAGGCATAACAATCAACTATTTACTGCTAGGTGAACAGGGGCAGCAGGAGTATGGAGGCTTACTCAAACATCCTACTTTTCCTGGAAAACCCAGATTTTTCATTTTTAAGCTAAATCCTTTGACCACTGATCTGCAAATTAATCCTTTTAGATCTATGGGACATGATTGAGAAGTATTAGAAACATATATTTAATTCATTTTTATTTAAATATCCACTTCAGACCTTAAAATTACAGTATGCTTCTATTTCTTCTTTTTAGAAAAAAGTTTTTCTCTAAATTAGCTAATGCTTTAGAAAACTTCCCTTTCAGACACTGGTAACACACTTCAGAGAGACTGGAATCTCTCTCTCTCTCTCAGACCTATGACACAACACTCTTGCATTACCAACCTGTGCCTAATGAAATAAGCAATTCTAGCATCCATCAATTTGTTCACAGTGTCACCAGATTGACTGTTCTCTTTTTGCCAGATCACTTCCCCCTCCTTGTCTTTATACACAATATCTTATATTCATTTTATTTTTTTATTTTTCAATCTCAGCTAGCAGTGCATGCATTTTCAGTGTCCTCTCTCCCAAAACATCCTATCAAACTTTTTAACACAAGGGAAAACAATGGTACTCATGTTTTAACTCCTGTGACTCCTCTCAATCACTTATTGTGTAATGTGATGTATTTATCTCCTTTAGAATTGTGTCAAATTTATGTTTGAATTAATGCATGGGAAATGTTCATCACTTCTTTATATTTTATGCAAAAGTTAGCCAATGATTAATATGGTTTAGCAAATATTTTAAGAACTATAAATTTCTTATTTTTATAATATTCATGGGAAAGCATCATACCCATAGACACATACAGTACCTGGGGAGTGCAAGATAATCAAGCTTGATCAAAGGAAGGGGAGATCAGGTTCAATTCATTGCAGCAAGAGCCCTCTCTAGTGTCAAGGAACCTTCCTTGAGGAGTAAGCATTGCAAAGATACCATACATAAAATAAATTATCTTTGTTAATACTCAACATACAAATGCCTATAAGAACAAACCTTGGCATGTCTTTGAAGAATAACATCGAGAAAGAATTCTTCTGCAGTAGAAACGTCCTTGCTTACTGAATTACTAGAGCGTTTTCGAGTAACAGGCGCAGTCTGATTTTGTCTGTTGATTTCCGGTAAGACTTTTGCTGAATCTGAGGTTGTTCTTACAATAGACTGGTGTCCTAATGAACCACTACTATCTCCTAATGCAATCTTAGGAGCTGAAGCTGATGAGAAAGACCTTCCACGTAAAACCTAAGGAGGTAGAGACAAAGCTATTACATACTTGGGTATTTCTACATAAATATTAGTGTAAAAAATACTAAAATTTGTATTATTTTTGCCTTCTGTATATCCAAAAAATTGTTTGCGACTCACACATTTAAAAGAGGATAAAATATAAAAGGAAATCTGTGAATTCACAATTTACAAATACTAATTATGAGATTCACTATGAGAACTATATAACAAAATTGAAACGGACATTCATGTATAAGAGCTTCACTATATCCTATACTAAACAATGTACTTTATTCTACTGTAACATTAAACATCTAACAGAAGAATCTTAGGATCCTTAAAAAAAAAAAAAAATGCCCATATAAAGAATCATAAAATTATACACAGTACTTGTACATCTGTTAACATTTCAGTTAGTTTGCACAATTACAATTTTTGTATTTGTATATACAGCCTCTCCTCACTTAGCGATGTACCCGTTTACTGATGCCTCGGGCTTATGACGGGCTCTCTGACTAGCATGCATGCCTAAATAATGTATATTAGAGCTGATTTCCTCTATTCTGTTTATTACAATATACAATACACTACTGTTTAAACATTTAAAAATATACCAGAAATATTACAAATGGTGCAAGGTGACATTAAAAAAATATCAAAGAGAGTTGACACAAACCCACTACCATTACAGTATGCTTCTCACTTAGCGACGAATTTGTTTACTGATGTGGTCTTAGAAATAGAGCTCCATCTTCAAGTGAGGGGAGGCTGTACATAGGATAATCATAAACATGAAAAGACAAAAATCACACCAAAATTATATGCAACCCTACACATGGTAAGGAAAACAGGGAATTTATGTGTAAGTCATTATGATGGTCAAAATTAACTTTTGCATGATATTCTGAAAAGGAAAATGTTTGTAATAGCACTGAAATTACATTGAAATATTTCTAATAGTTCTGAAATCACACTGTTTAAATATAATCATGAGAATCAACTGCAAATATGACAAATTATTAATAAACTCATGTAAATAAAATATAAATGAGGAAAAATAACGTACAGTAGTGAAAAATGACTGTCCAGTAGAAATTCAAGAATGTTGGGCAACTATAGCTGAGCTCTTATTAAATTTGTCATAAAAACAGTACTATATTAGGAGCTTTCACATTTAAATTTGGACATACCCAAACACTGCCTCACGCAAAAAAAAAAAAAAATATAATTACCTGTGGTATGATAAAAGTGATGCTTTTCAGAAGTGATAATAATACTCCCTTCTCCAGATAGTATTATAAACAAATTATAAAAAGCAAACACATTCAAATTTAAACAAATAACAGCAACAGTAACAAAACATGCATATGCAAACACATGTGGGGAATGCAGCCAAAGTGAAACAAATTTTCTGGAACAAAAATATATGAAAAGAAATAAATATAAAATGACCAAAAATTAAATACTATGATAATGAAAAAATTGAACATATAAAGTGTATGCCATCCTAGTCTACATAAAATATGCAGAAACTGAAATTGTAAATCATTTCATATTTTCCATTAGTGGCAGGTTTGGGAACTATATGTAATGTAGTATACGTACACATACAAAGTATATGACGTCCCAGAGATCTAACTATTGGTTTATCAGTGTTTAAAAGAAAAATCTGAAAATATACAGTGAAAATCAGAATACAGTGGACCCCCGGTTAACGAACTTTTTTCATTCCAGTAGTATGTTCAGGTGCCAGTACTGACCGAATTTTTTCCCATAAGGAATATTGTGAAGTAGATTAGTCCATTTCAGACCCCCAAACATACACGTACAAACGCACTTACATAAATACACTTACATAATTGGTCGCATTTGGAGGTGATCGTTAAGCGGGGGTCCACTGTACTGTATAACCTTAAATATTGTAGTTTACCTAGAAGCATTCAGTGGTGATAAGGAACTTAGGAAAAAAATAAGGTTTTAATATCAAAATTGGAAACATTTATTCTACTGTAAAAGGGCTAAAAATGTCTAGATGGAGATCAGAAAATGCAAACAGACATGATCAATAAGAAAACTCAAAATAATAAAGGATTACAAATAGGGTAAAAAATAATGAAAGACTTAAGATGTTTGAAATCAACAAAAACAAACATCTCAAAGTACAACAAGGAATGATAACACTATTACACAAATGATGGATGTAGTACTGTGCAAAACAATAATAAACTAGAGATATGCAATCTCCGTCAATCAGTCCAGAAAAAATAGGTAAAAAAAAGTTAAAGGACTGACAGAAAGGCAAACATGAGAAAATATATGAAAAAATGCATTGTACATACAGTATCCATAAGGTATGAGCATTAAAGAATGTTGTAGGCATGAGAATACACAACAATGGACAAATATAAGCCTTTAAAGCAAACACATGATAGGTAATGCGAAGAAAAATTTAAAAGAATTACATGTATAAAAAAGTATACTTTTCCCATGTATAACACCTGAATTCATCTATAAGATGGGAAATCAAGGCCCCAAACAAATGACCATAGCTAGATAATGACAGGCAAGCATATATATAAGACAAGAGGTGGGCATCTCAAAAAGATAAGAGTCAATATTTTACGAACAATAAGGCGCCATACACTGTGGGTCTAGTAGAAATATAAAATGTAAGAACACAGACAGAATATGGCACAGGTAACCCCCTATATGGCAAAAGTAAAAGAAAAGAGAAATATATACTTCAGCCTACTGCTAAGGGCTATACAGTCTATAATAATACCCAATATCATTATTTCTTAAGTTATCAATCCAAGAGGTCAACAACGGTTTTTCAAACCATTCATCACAACATTGCTGAGTATTCTCTATATAGTACAGGTCAGCCATCACTAATCCGGCATCGTTGGGACCTGTAGTGTGCCGGATTACAGAGTGGTTAAGCTGGAATACACTTAATTAACCTATCAATAGAGACTCTTTCTGCTACGTCTTCCTCATTTTCATCACTGCTTTCTCCTCCACTGGCTGTGGATTTACAACTACCTGCACAATTTCTGAGTTAGTATAATGATGAAATTTGAGTCAGTATAATGATGAAATTCGAAATTATGCTAGCCGAAATTAGTGCCGGATTACTGATGGAACCGGATAACTGATTGTCAGATTAGTGATGGCTAGCCTGTACTTTAATGTATTTGCAGAGAGTTGGGCTTGATTTATTAAATCCATTCCTTGTGTACAGTTTTATTGGTTTATATGTGATGCCTCAATACAAAAAAAGTACTTTTAATAGGAAAAGAACAGTACTGTATACTGATTTATTTTATTCATTCCTAAATATAGTAGAAAAGATGCAGTTGGTCACCAAGAACTCAACTGGCAGTCAGGCATAAAGTAATGCACACCTTTTATGAAAATTTTTAGCCTAGACAGTGTATGAAAATTTGACGTTACCAATCTTGGGGTTCTCATGCCAGTTTTCAAGCTAATGTGCTTAAAATTTATTTGGAGAGGTTGCAAGCTAAATTAAAATATTTTACTCCATCAGCATCCACAAGAAACTTGTGGATGGCAAAGTCACAGACATTGAATTTATATTGATGTAAAATTAAAAGGGATGTATATTTATATTGATGTAAAATTAAAAGGTTGGTTGTAAATTGGGCATCTAACAGAAACATACTAAGAATTATTACTCGTACATCATCATGTAATTATAAAAATTAAACAAAATGTTTATGGGTTAAAGAAAATTTATATTAAGACATTTCATCTGTAGCGGAGGGAAGGTGGGGTAGGGGTTGGCCTAGGAAAGGTTGGAGGGAGGGGGTAAAGGAGGTTTTGTGTGCGAGGGGCTTGGACTTCCAGAAAGCATGTGTGAATGTGTTAGACAGGAGTGAATGCAGAAAAATGGTAACATTTATGAAGGGATTCAGAGAAACTGGAAAGCAAGACTTGAGTCCTGGAGATGGGAAGTACAGTGTCTGCACTCTGAAGGAAGGGTGTTAATGTTGCAGTTTTATAACTGTAGTGTAAGAGCACCTCTGGCAAAACAGTGATGGAGTGAATGATGATGAAAGTTTTTCTTAATCGGGCTTTTCTTTTTTGGGCCACCTTGCATTGGTGGGAGACGGCTGATGTGTTTATAAATAAAAATTTCATAAGATAACAGCTACTGTACCAAAAAGCTGGCTGGGACTTCACTATGTTTAGTAAACATTTGTAAGCTCATCTTGAAGAATCTTAGATGAGATGAAATAGTGTCCACAACTCATGGAATTAGTCTGTGGATACTGGGCAAGAGGGTATGAAAACAAAATTTATGAAAAGTCAAATTTATATATACAAAACCTGTGGATACTGAGGGAGTAGAGTAACTGACAACAGATAATGGACAACAGACATGGTTCAGCAAAATGAGATAGAAAAAGGCTGGAAAAGTGCAAATAGGTGATCACAAACAGTAATGTCATTCATTCACAACTCACAAGACCTAAGTGTTATCCTGAGATGAAGCAGGGTTACTTGAGGACTTTGTATTACAATACGTATATGCAAAAGTTAATCAGTTATATTAAAGATAATTTCTTACCTTCAAAGATAATAATGGAGATATAAATCTCAGAGGGAATTCATGTACATTTTCTTAAATAATTTACAGATGTACTACAGGTCAGCCATCACAAATCTGGCATCACTGGGACCTGTAGTGTGCCGGATTATTGAGTTTGCCAGTTTACAGAGTGGGTAGGTTAGAAGGCACTTAATAAAGTTAACCAACTCGACTTACACAAGAAAGTCCACTGAACATCGGCAAAAATCAAACATTTCTGCTACTATGACCTCAATTTCAAGGTACTTTTCATCATGAAACCAATCAAAATCATATCTATTTCTGTAATATATCTTCCATTCTAGTAGTAGGTTGGTAGACAGTAAACGCCCAGAGAGGTACTACCGTCCTGCCAAGTGAGTGTAAAATGGAAACCTGTAATTGTTTTACATGATGGTAG